CACAACAGGAAGTTTCGGCAGTTCTGGTGAACTGGAGAGCACAGGTTCCATTTAAGGCCATGGGATTTGTAAAGCATGCAAGCACCGTACCAGCCAAACAAAACACGTTTTGGAGCTCGCCCTGGCTCCGGGACACCACTCCGCAATCCCTGGGCTAGCCTAACGAGTCTCAGACTTTGGGTCTTGGAACTTTGTAGAATGCTGGCTCCCATTTGCTTATGCACAAAGGAAAAAAAACTCCAAATAACCAAACCCCACTAATCTAGAGACAGAGAGAAAAGTAAGAGGCAGATTAAAGGTTGAACGAAGGGAGTAGAGGAATCTGAGCAGAAAGGCATAGACGAGAAACACGAGGGAGAAGTAAAAAGACAACATATAATACCAAGAAGGGGGACTGGGGAGGAAAAGAGAAAGCTACAAGAAGGGGCGAGAAGAGTCTTAAGAAGGGGGCTGATGGCAAGGAGGTGAAGGAGGAGGGGAATGTTCTGAAACTGGCTGTAGTAGCATTGGTCCAATACTGCTTGATAGGATTCAACTAGGGAATGCTATGCTATCTGTCAGAGCTCCCCAGAGGATGGTTTCACAGAAAGAGAAGGAAAGAGCAAAGGGAGGGAGAAACAGTTATCTTTCTCGCTCATCCTGGGGCCAGCCTCTGTGCCGGACACCTTACCCCACTGTTCTCTTTCCATCTAGTCATCACGAGTTCACGGGTCAATTGTGTGCTATTCATAATTATGTCATTGCAGATTTCAAAGGTGGCTTCCCCCAGGGTCCTAGCTCCAGTCTTTCTTATCTGGCCTCCAGGGCAGTCTGGGGGTGGGAGAGGGGAAGAGGGAAGGCGTTAGGATGACTGTGAGGTCTTCATGACAAATGGTGTAATTTGTAATTGCATAAATCCACACCCCCACGCACAGTCAGCCAGCCCACGGTGTCTATGGGCTTCACATCTGCGTACTGACCATCATAAATATTAGAGGGGGATACAAAAGTAATGAAGTTGTCAAAGGAATCCCTCACAGGCTCAGAGGGAGCCTAGAGTGCATTTCTGTAGCATTGCTATTATACCGGTTACTACAAGTAGTCTATGAATGGTTTAAACAAGACGGTGTGCATAAGCTATGTGGAAATACTACACCAGTTTATACAGGGACCTCAGCATCCTATTGGGATCTGTGGGGGTGTTTAGGGGTGGGGGGTGTCCTAGAACCAATCCTGAGAGCTGACTGCATGTATGTGCATACATATACAGTTTTAAAGGAATCTTAGTGTTGCAACAGAAGCCCTCGTGGTGTTGTGGGATGACCCCCTAACTACAAGCTCTGTGATCCAAATCCACCAGCGGCTTCGAGGCACAAGGACTAGGCTATCTGCTCCCACAAATAGCTCGTCTTGGAGACCCTACAGGGGGTCACTGCGAGTCAGAACCAACTCGATGGCCGTGGGTCTGCGTTAGTGGTGCAACGATTAAGGGCTGAGCTGCTAACGGACAAGTCAGTGGTTGAAAACCACCTTCCGCTCCACTGGAGAAAAGACGCAGTGGTTTCTGCTCCTGTAAAGATTACCGCCTAGGAAGCCCCATGGGGCAGTTCTTTCTGTCATAGAGCGTCACTATGAGTCAGAAAGCATAGTATTACTATGAAATATTCAAAGACCAGGAGTTAGAAACCCCCAAAAGTACACATGCAGCATATCTTAAACTGAAAGAACGGAAGGAAATTCCAAACCTCAAGTTGTAATATTAAAAAATTCTATGGGAGACATATTAACAATGCAGGAAGCATCAAAAGAAGATGGAGAAAAATAGAGTCACTGTACCTAAAAGAACTAGTAGACATTCAATCATTTCAGGAGGTAGTATGTGACCAAGAACCAGTGGTACTGAAGGAAGAAGTCCAGGTACGCTGACGGCAATAGCCAAAAACAAGGCTCCAGGAATTGACGGCACACCCACTGGAATATTTCAACAGACTGATGAAGCGTTGGAAGCGCTCACTCCTCTATGCCGAGAAATTTTGAAGGTAGTACCTGACCAACTGACTAGAAAAATAATCCATATGTTGCCCATTCCAAAGAAAGGTGATCCAACAGAATTCACAAATTACAGAACAATATCATTGTTATTACTTGCAAGTAAAATTTTGCTGAAGATCATTCAACAACAGTTGTTCTACTATATTGGCAGGAAGCTGCCAAAAAAAACACAAAACAGACCAGTATTCAGAAGAGGACGTGGAACAAAAGATATCATTGCTGACATCAGATGGATCATGGCTGAAGGCAAAGAATCCCAGACAGATGTTTACTTGTGTCTTATTGATTATGCAAAGATCGTCCACTGTGTGGATCATGACAACCCTAAGTGACCTTGAGAAGAATAGCGATTCAGAACATTTAAATGTGTGCTCCTGTGGAACTGTCCCTGGATCAAGAGGCCGTTGTGAGAACAGAACAAGGGAACACCGCGTGGTTTAAGATCAGGAAAGGTGTGTGTCAGGGCTGCATCCTCTCACCGTACTTAGTCTCTACGCTGAGCAAATCATCAGAGAAGCTGAATTATATGCAGAGGAACTTGGCATCGGGATCAGAGGAAGGCTTGCTAACAGCCTGTCATGCACAGAAGACACCACCGTGCTAGCTGCAAGTGAGGGGGACTTGAAGCACTTGCTGGTGAAGATCAAGGATTGTAGCTTTCAACGTGGATTACCATTTAGGTAAAGAAAACCCAAATCCTCACCACTGGACCAATAGGTCTGACCATGATAGCGGAGAAAAGATGGAGGTGGTCGAGGATTTCAACTTGCTTGGGTCCACAATCAATGCTCTTGGAAGCAGCCATCGAGAAATCCAACAACACAATGTTCCTGGGTAAATCCGTTGCACATGACCTCTTTAGAGTGTTGAAAAGCCAGGATGTAACTTTGAGGACAATGTGTGCCTGCCCCAGGCCCTGGTATTTTCACTTGCCTCACATGTATGTGAAGGTTTGATGTTGACTAAAGAAGACGGAGAAAAATCGATACATTTGAATTATGGTGCCCCAGAAAAATATTGAAAGTACCCTGGATTGCCAAGAGAACAAACACGTCTGCCTTGGAAGATGTGCAGACAGAAGGCTCTTTAGAAGCCGGGACGTTGTATACTTTGGACATGGGATTGGGGAGACCAGTCCCTGGAGGAGGACATCATGCTCGGCAAGGCAGAGAGGTGTGGGATATAAAAAGACTTTCCCCAGCTTTTCTCCCCCATGTATATGTCAGACAACAAATGGTAAATGATTGTCAAGTTATCTCCCTGAAGGCACCAGCCAGCCAGAGCAAGCAGACTCTACTGTCTGTTCCACCATAGGTGGGGCTCACTCCACACTGTTAGGGACAGTGAATTGCTTTCCCTGGAAAGCTTAGAATAAATCATGTTTCCGGCTCAACGACAATCAAGATTAGGCCGCTACCATGAATCTAGGATCTGCCCATCTTGTCACTTGTGTACCCTTAATCCCTCCTCTTCCTATAGCGTGCGCACCCTTAGATCGTCCCCCTCCCATTGCTCTATTGCCCATGGTAAACCCCTTCCTGTGACATAGGTCGTTACCTGTAATCAGGGGCTTGCACGCCCCCAAAGATATATAAGCCTTGGTTAGGAATGAATTGCTCTCTCTCCTGCCCTGTCCTCCCTCACCTCCACGTGGGCCACCAAGAAGGACCTAGGTGAGCATGTTACTCTGAAATGCGTCTGACTCCTTTATTTCACTCTCTCCTATCTCTTTGATTCTCTATGACTTTACTATGATCTTTACATAGCATAACCGTACAGTTGCGCCTACGAACCCATGACAGTGTGGGGGGCTGGTCTCCCCTCACAGAGAGGCAGCAGAAAAAGAGGAAGGCCGCCGTCAGATGGATGGACACAGCGGCTGCCAGGGGGGGCTCAAGCATAGGAATAACGGTGAGGCTGGCGCAAGACGGGGCGGTCTCTGTCCTGTTGTCCACAGGGTCACTGTGAGTCAGAATGACTCCCGGGCACCTAACAACTTCAACAACAACAACATGAGTCAGAAGCTACCACACAGCACCAGCACCACGGCCGATTATATCACGGTAGTCTTAACGGTCTATTTTAGTATTCTGACTTCCGGAAAGATGAAAGCAGTTGCCTGGCTGGTAGACGAAGGATCCAGAGGTGAGTTTGACACCGAAATCCCAGTTCTGTCCTCCTTCCCACTGAAACGTGCTCGGGGCAGACCTCTGGAGACGCAGCTAGGAATAAGGAGGGAAGGAGGGAAATGGCTTCCCTCACCGGCACCTTCCTCTTCTCTCAGCCGAAACGACAGCCACTCAGCGAGGCCATGCTTGGCACCCTTGTCCAGTTAAAGGATGAGCTGCCAGAAGATAGCCTTTAGTCCCCTGGCTCCAGTGATGGAGACCCTCAGCTATCGGACCTCGTGACTCCTCAGTGGCCTTGCCAATTCAGTTTGAGATCATGCCCAGCCCCCAGTTACGTTCCTTAAGCCACCAGACTGGGCACGCACTCTGCCCGCCTCAGTCTCTAATCCTGACGACTTTGTTAGCGAATTATTGTCTTTCAGTGAATCATAGGTTGTGGTTTCCTCCCACAAATACAAAGTCTAGCTCCAAATCTGAGACATGTGGAGGTCCACAGAAAGAGGTAGTTGTAAAAACTAGGGGAACAGGGGCCTTTTAATAAGAGGGAGGCACAGAGGCACCCCACATCAGCACAGGCACAGAAAGGGAGTCTCAGAGGCAGAGGCAGGGGCATGAGACCAAGAGTGCTGGGCAGAGCACACAGCCCCAGGGCAGCAGACAGAGGGCCACAGACACAGGTTCAGATTCAGGGAGATGGAGTCCCAGTGGCGAAGCCAGCACAGACAGCCCAGCCGGCAGCTGGCCGAACAGAGGAGGCACAGAGTGGCGGCTGGACAGGCCAGGGGGCGGGAGGGAGGAGGCAGCGAGGCCGGGCCTCCGTGGGGATTTGGCAGTCCATACCACGAGGGAGGGCTGGCTGCCCTGATGCTGCTGTCCCAGGAAGGTGTCCAGTTCCTCTTGGCTCTGCAGTGAGGGGGCCTCCTGGGGCCGTGGGCATCCCGCTGCTTGAAGCTTCCTCCTGAAACACACATGGCCACCAATGCCCTCTGTGTCCGGCGGCCAGTGAGGGGCACCAAGAGCACCGCCTTGGCCTTCCCCTGTTGCTTGCCCCCAGCCCGGCCCTTCCTGTTGGCATAGGTGCAGCCCAGACCTTCCCTGGCTTTTCCTTTGAGGCTCCGCTTTGGCAGAGCTGCGGAGCGGGCCATGGGCAAGGGTGGCCCCTGCTGGTCAGGGCGCAGCAGTGGCCTCCAGAATAAAGCGGGTGTTGGAGGCGAGGGGCGCTGGATGTTTATTCTCTGCCTGACTTGTGGTGCGGAACAGCCCAGCTAAGCAGTGCTCCCAGGACTCCCTGCCGCTGTGCTCAAGAGCCTGTGGAGGTCATGCCCGGGAGGCCCAGGGGCGCAGCGGGCAGCACATACAGGGTCTCCAGGGGCATTTCATCTTTCACCCAGCTGCTCCGAAGAAAGTGCCGGGCAGTCCGGCTCATCCCAGCTCTCACATATGCCAACCCAGGGGCAAGCCCAGGGTCCTCCCCTTCGCCTAGTGCAGCAGCCCTGCCCAGGAGCTAGGGAGGGTGGGTTCACTCACCAGAGCCAAGGGGACTTGTCCAGAGGACCTTTGCCAGAGCAGATGGGCAGTGCCCTTCAGTGGCTAGCAGGCCTCGACCAGGGCCCCTTACACTGAACTCATCACATTGACCCTGGGGCTTCTCTTTGTGACTTCCTCTGCCTTTAGGGAAGTGGTCAGGGATTTTCCAGGGGAGGGGGGAAGAGCCGGGCCCGCCCCCTAGCCCCTCCAGCTTGTGCAGCCCACTGAGCAATGAGTGAGCGGTTCCCCTATGGCAGGGCTGTCTTACGAATTAGCCTGGAGCCACCAGCTTGTCAGGAATCTGGGGATGGCTCAGGGCAGGAGGCCTGACCCTAGGGCCACTTCAGCACAACCTCTCAGTTTCCCCTTCTGTGGAATGAGGAGATCGGGCCCTATGATCCTGGCGACCCTGGGTTCCATCTGAGGGGGCCAGGGGAGGCGGACGGTAAGATCCAACTGCCCCATACTCCTCCCAACTGCACGTTTTCTCCTCCTCCTCCTTCTCCTTCTCCAACTCATGCTGCCCCCTAGCCAGCCCAAGACCAGACCATGAGAAGGTACTAAGACTGCTGGGGGGAGCCACATTTTGAGAGGAGGAGCCCACCCCACCCCCTCACCAAAGCCCCAAGATAGGTTTCCACCTCTCCTGTCATTCTTCCAAGGTGGCTGTCTCCCGAGGGAAACAAGGGTGTGTGTGTAAGAGGTAGAAGACAGAGAAGGAGAAACAAGAGGTCTCCTGGGGGCTTACCTGCTCAGTGGGCCCTGGACCTCCCCACCGGGCCCCCAGCTGTGTCGTTTGAATGGGTCACAGTGGTAACCATGGGCACGAAAAGCCTTGGACCTTCGGAGATTCACAGCAGGGAGGCCATCCTCCTCCTCTGTGGCCTCTTTCTCCTCTTCTTCCCTCTGTCCTCGAGACTCCACCCCAGACAGACAGCGGCGAGGGTGGCCTTGGGGGACCAGGTCTCCATCTGCAAGGGACACCTCTGTATCGACTCTGTTCATGGGAGGCACGGGCGGGCCAGTCTGCATGGAAACAGAGATGGGTGAGCAGGCCCTGGAACTTGGAACCTGACAACCAGGAGGGCATGTCACAGTCAGCAGGACTCGGAGCACCTAGTCACCCCCCTCCATGGACGGGGGCAGGGCTCGAGGAAGGAAGGGCCGCCTTGGGGGGCGGTGAAATGGTGAGTTCCTGGGGAGCCAAAGAAGTACTGAAAAGTATGATCAGCTGGCATGGAATGATACTGGAGCAGGGCGGTTCCTGTCAAAGAAGGGACTAGAGCAGCCGTTCTCAACCTGGATGTCGTCACCCCTTTGGGGGTCAAATGACCCTTTCACAGGGGTTGCCTAAGACCATTTCCAATGGTCGTAGGAACCGAGACACGGCTCCTCTATCTCCAGGCGGGTCCGCCCACATGCAGATACGCCCACATACAGGGTCACTACAACATGAGGAACTGCATTAAAGGGTCATGGCATTAGGAAGGCTGAGAACCGCTGGACGAGAGAGGAGAAGACAGCCATGTGATAGCAGAGGGATGCTGCAGTGGCATACCCAGGATTGCCCTAGGCTCTCAGTAGCCCAGACAGACGAGAACGTATCTTCTCCCAGAATCCTTTGAGAGAGCACGGGCCTGTCAACACCCCGACTTCATATGACTAGCCTCCAGGGCATTAAAAATAACTAAATAAAAATCCCATGCAAATTCACAATATGTAAGTACTTTAAAACAATATCTTCATGGGATAAATCTTATTGTCAGTTCAAATGTGTACAATTCAGAGCTATAGATAACACATTCTATAAAGAAGGAGGCTTGGTGGCCTAGTGGGTTACAAGTTGGGCTGCTAACCACAAGGCCAGCAGTTTGAAACCCGTTGCTGGTGCTTCAAAAAAAGTGGAGGTTTTCTACTCCCGCCAAGAGTTACAGTTTCAGCAACCCACAGGGCAGTCCTATTCTGCCCTGTAGGCTCACTATGAGTTGGAATTGACTCAGGACAGTGAGTTAGTCTCGCCAGAAACGTGGAATGATAGATTACTGCTCTTGGAAACCACCTCAAACCAAACCCCCAATGTCATCGAGTCAACTCCGACTCAGAGAGAACCTACGTGGGGTTTCCAAGGCTGGACCTCACACAGCCACAGAGCCTCGTCCGTGTTCTGTGGAGTGGCTGGTGGGCTTGAGCCAGACCACGCGGCTTCCTTATAAGCTAGCCGTTTGTTATAATAGCCTTATACGGAGAGCGAGGGTCCTAAGCAGATAAAACAACACACACACACACACACCTCTACACCCCCCCTCCAACACACACAGAGCTTCCTGAGTGAGAAAGTGTTCTGATTTGTTTTTTCTAAGACTCTGGTCACATGGGGTGACGTCACCCCTATAGAGCCAAGAGGAGGGCTCCAAGCCCCAACCAAGAATACCTCCGTCATTTCTCGGGCATTGCTCTCACTGACCAACACCCCTAGCTACTATCAGGGCTTGGCTCACCGTGTCTAAGAACCTTCGGGAGCTCTTAAAGCCGAAGCGATAAGTCCCACTCAGACAGAAATACCAGTCGCTGGAGGACCACGGGAGCACAGGGGCGGGAAGGGGCCTAACATTTCCTGCATACTTCTGTCCACTTCACTGTTAGGCCATGTCTCTCTAGATCAGGCGTCCTCAAAACTACGGCCCGTGGGCCACATACGGCCTGCTGAGGACATTTATCAGCCCCGCCGGGTGTTTTTGCCCCGTTTGTTTTTTCACTTCAAAATAAGATATGTGCAGTGTGCATAGGAATTTGTTCGTAGTTTTTTTTTAAACTATAGTCCGGCCCCCCAACGGGTCTGAGGGACAGTGAACTGACCCCCTGTTTAAAAAGTTTGAGGACCCCTGCTCTAGATTATCTTCTAAGCTGATTCTCCCAGGCTTCCCTTCTCCCAGGATCACTTGAGATGTTAGCAGGATCCCCGAGGACCAGAAAGCGAGAGCCAGAAAATCTCCCCTTCCGTGAGGGGTCCACCCTTCCCCAACTTGCCTGAAATGCTAACTTGTTGCCAAGTCATGCCTTCGACCTCACTGCAAAATGTCCCGTGGCCCCACCCCACCCGGGGGCTGCTGGGAGAAAGCACTGTGTCTAAGGCTGAGCATTCACCCTGAGGAGGAACGGTGCTCAGGTCTCTGCAGATAGCATTTCTGGTCTCTGGCCAGGAGGGTGGGCAGACAGGACAGGAGAACCCTAGGAAGCAGCATCTCTGCGTTCATCCACATCTGGGCGCCATCTGCAGGGGCCCCCTCGCCTATCCAGAGGCCAGAAGAGCTCATCTCCCCGCTGTCTACAAACTCGAGCCCCCCACCCCACAACCCCTGCGCTCTCTGATGTGCTCTGGCAAACAAGGTGGGCAGATCCGCCAGGACAGGCCCTGAGGAGGCTCTGAAGCTGAGATTTGGGCGGGGCTTGGAAGAGCTGACAAGAAGGACTGTAGGCTAGGGTGGGGGGAAGAGGAGGAACTAGGGGTGCTCGTTAGGAGGGAAGGAAATGGGGCTGGGATCTGAGGGCACATTGGGGCGCTTGGAGGGGAGTCTGGGTGGCACACATGAAGAAGCGCTTGACTAGCTGACAAGTAGCCCAGTTTGGCACTTGGAACACCCCCAGACCAACGTCCCTCAGAAGAAAAGTGTGGCCATCAGAAAGGATTCAGTGCCAGTCAGCGGGGCTGCCAGTGTGCTGCAGTGAATCACTGTCACATGGCCTTTCTAGCTGGGTCTTACAGCACTCACAAAAGTGGGGCGGGGATATGCAAATGAGGCACTCCTGGCCCACTAAAGGGATTGGGCAACTTGCTCACATGACTACCTAGGCTCCTGGCTCAGTAGGAGTAGGGCCATGTGCCACCTGTGGGTTCGATTTGGCATGCGCTTCTTTTCCTCCCGAAGACAAACCTGCTCCCCTGGCCCCAGGGGCCATCCCCTCTGAGCCTGAGGTCACTGTGTGGCTCGCCCTTCTCCCTCGGCAATGATCAACTGGGGTCTCACGTGTCCCCCGAGCTCTACTCTTTCTCCAGCATCTCCACACAGCATCACCTGTGCGTGGTCTCTGCACACGGAGTCCTCCGGGCACCCTCTTCAGAGCTAACTCCGTTCCTCAGCAAAATAAACCCCCCAAACCCCCTCCTCTCTGGCCTTTGTCCCTGGAGCTATCATGCCAGACGCTTGAACCTCATCCTTCAAAGAGATGAGGCTTCGCCAGGTTTCCCTCCCAGCGTGGGAAGGGTTGTGTCCTGTCAAACATTTGGATTTGGAGTCCTAACCCCTACATCTGTGGGCAGGAATCCCCCGGCGGTACAACCATTGAACGCTCAACAACTAGCCAAAAGGCTGCCAGTTCAAACCCACCCAGGGGTGTTCGGAAGACGGGCCTGGGGATGGGCATGGACGATCTGATGGAGCTGTTCGACTCTGCACCCCAGGGGCTGGGTGAGCCACCCCGGACTCCAGGACAACGATCCGGCCGGGGAACACAATCCCACTGAGAATGGGTAGTTCAACTAGACCACGGAGGAGTAGGATCTCAGTCTGACTTCTGAAGAGACACCACACACACACACACACACACACACACACA